ATAGCAATTATCTGAAGCTTTCATACGACCTATGGTCCAATAGAGATCCACAATATTTTGTTCATGGGATGTACAATCTGCAAACCAGCAAACTATATATTGTCTTTCAAACAAGCATTAGCTTGTGCATGTGAAATGGTTCACTAATTTTCAGTTCGAGTACAGTTTATTTTACATGAATCAATAGTCAAGAGTCTGCTTGTCTTGTTGTGCCCTCACAGTGGCATCACAACTTTGCATAGGCTACAGAGGTGAGAACGATCTTAGTCCACAGGCTCAGCCAGTTTCCAAAGCTCTCAATGGCACCTTTTAAAAATCCCATCAGTCATCACAAAGATGCTGGTTCTGGGTGGTAATCTCAGCAGTTCCGGGTCAGAGGCAGAAGGGTTAGTAGTTCAAGGCCAGCATAGCTACAGGACAAGTTCCAAGTTAGCACAGGCTCAGGAGACACATTATTGTGCATTCTGAGGCTGGAGGTATGTGGAAAGCTTCCTTCTTGCAATACTGTATGGATACAGTAGTGAATTCCGGGCCACTATGGCCACATGATGAACCCCAGTTAAGACTTCCAAACTTCTTTTCAGTGTTCTTAAGTGTAAAAGAGACTTGCTTGTGTGTTTGGGCCTGTCATGGCACAAACTCTAGGACATGGGCAGTACTGATTGGTCATTTAATTTAAACTGTTTGTAGGTAGCAAACATCTTAGTGGCCAGACCATGCTTGTTCAGGACTGAGCTCCACTCTAGCATATTTAATGGCTACACACTTTACATGTAGAGGGATCCCATCTTGCTTCCTTACCCCCAAGGTCATTGACCTGACATACAAAGTGATGTTAACAACTGAAAACTTTGAGGAGTTGGGTTCTCTGAAGAATTGAATTAAGGTGTCCATTCCATGAAAATAAAGCTGTAATTCTCTTTAAATGAGGATTATAGAAGAAGGAACACTCACACACAAGGAGGCCCACAGTGATTCGGGAAGGATAATGGACCTCTTTTCACAGGAGGAATGTTACCCATCTCATAAAAGTATTGAAAAACTTTTGTTTTCCTTGAAAGGCTCAGCTTAAAAGCCATTGGCTGGTTGCTTCCAACATGATTCAGCCCTTCCCCACTCTTCTACAACATCCACTGCACTGGGCATGCTAAATGCACTTCTGGAACTCAGATTCCAGGCTAATTGTGAGTTCTTTCCTTTGACAACACAGGGCTGTGGAAGGATCCTTCTGCAGCAACTTGCTAGGTTGTGATTTCAGAAGTCATTTTGTCATTGAGTTAAAGCAATCACACTTGATTTAATCATGTTTGGAAAGAATGGCTCATGGCTAATCCTTTTGTGCATGGCAAGGCACATTCATACATTGAAATCCTTCACATTATCTCTGAGTTGTTCTTACTGTCTCAGGGTTTAAATAAGTATTTATGCTGTTCCTCCAGCTTGTTCTTCGTGATTATATTTCTGGTATTTGTGTGTGTGTGTGTGTGTGTGTGTGTGTGTGTATTAGTGATTAAACCTTAGGCCTTGTGCACTATAGTTAAGATGTTTATAAAGAAGTTATAAACTCAGTCCCTTTTCATTTATCTATTTGGTCAGGACTGTTATCAGTTACCCAGAGTGACCTTGAGCTCACTGTATACCTTCGAAACCCCAGGACTCAGGAAGTAGAGGCAGGTGTGTCTCTGAGTTCAAGGCTAGCCTGTTCTATATAGGCAGTTGCAGTTCCACTGGGGATACAAGGAGAACCTGTCTCAAATCAAAAAAGAAAACTTGAAATACTTGATCTTTGTGTGTGTATGTGTGTGTGTGTGTGAGAGAGAGAGAGAGAGACTTCTATTTTACATATATAATTTTGTCAACTAAATCACTAAACCATCATTCCAATATATCCAGATGATTTTTTTTAATTAGAAGAAGAATTTCATTACAGCTTTATGGTACTCAATAACAATTTCCAGAGTAAAGATACATCTCTTTCAAATGTGGCTCTAAAATTTTTAGGTTCACAGTTGAATTAATACAGTCATACAATATTGAACTCAGTACAAACGCTGTAAGACATAAAATTGAATGAATTTTTAACCTTTAAAAAAGATCTTTATTTTATTTTAAAATATACTGTTTCTTACAGAAAGACTCATCGTTTTTGCTAATAACACTTAGATGTTGGTGCATGTTTCTGTAACCTGTATGTATCTGATTATTACTAATCACAATTGGTTGTAATCGGATCCCTGGCACCCGTGTATGGATATAAAGTCATTGGGTAGATTTCAATGGTAGTGTTTATCACCTCTACTAATTAACATGACATAAATTGTTATGCTTCCTCCTCAAATATAACTCATTTTTAAAATTTGTTAATTTTTGTTTGTATATCACACAGAACATCCCAAACAATCTTACTCATCTATATACCCACTTCCCAGATGGCACCCTCCCATAGCCTCTGCCCCCTCACTAGAGCCCTTATACTCTGTTATCCCTGCAACTGTCAGCCAGATGATGTTTTATTTGTAATCCAAGTTCTAATTGATATATCAACTCTGACATAGAATTGTAGATAGAACTGGAAATAAATGCCCACTTTAAAATAAAATCCATCAGTGTAAGACCTCTGGGGTCTGTTGTGTAGTTAACTGGGTTTCCTTCTTCCTCTTCATACCCACAATGCAAAGCTGGGAAGCCAAGGCTCTGACCTTCATTGAGATCACCTGCAATGGTATGTCTCTTGACAACAGAGTTACCTGTAGGCATTTACACAGGGTAAATACTATTTTTAGAAGAACGCTTCTTTTCCAATGCTAACACAGTATATGTCAGCAAACTCATTTATTCATCTTACTCTAAGAATGACCAGAAGCAACTGAATTCTACATTGTGTTTAATCCCAGCACTCGGGAGGCAGAGGCAGGCAGGTCCCTGTGGGTTGAAAGCCAGCCTGGTCTACATAGTGAGTTCCAGGACAACTGGGGCTACAGGGAAACCCTGTCTCAAAAAGACCAAAAAAAAAAAAAAGAAAAGAAATAATATGTTAATTACCGCAATTGTTTTGTTCGATGGATGTACTGCTCCTGCTAAAGTACAGTCCAAGCATTTGTGTTTACACCCATAGGTTATTACAGCAGCCACTGTTTAGATGTTTTTTGCTTCTTGCTGTTTGTGTTTTTATAGTAGATCGAATCCCACTGAAATGGGTCAACAGTCCATGGAAAACAGATGATTCAGAGACCTGAAAGTTCAGTGCCTTGCCACAGTGGGAGGAAGATCATCAGTCACCTATCACCCCCTCCAAGGCTCAGTGACTTTTGTGGAAGAGGCTGGCGGAAAGAATTTAACAGCCAGAGGAAGGGGTGGAGTATTAACTGGAAGTGTCCTCTGACCACTATGCCAGCAAGCTATACTCACACCATCTGCCCATGCTCGTTAAGGAGCTGCTGGGGGAGTCAGTTACCCCTCCCACCCAATCTGTCTCTCCACCTTAACTGCATGCAGGGGAGGGTTAAGGATATATAAGCCAAGAACGCCATGAGGCACCTCTCTTGCCATTTTGTGCAACTGTCAGAAGTCACAGGATGTATGAGTGTGGACTTTCCAGCATAGCTGTAAATGGAGGTGGGGCACCCACTCTTCTGTAAATAAATCCACACTCTATGCTCTGTTGGCAAGACCAATAAACTCGTTAGGATTAAAAAAAAAAGCAGACAGAATAACTTTCATTATTCCACCAAAGTTGACCCCATGCTGGCAAATCTTTCGGTCTTTTATTTCTTATTCCTCCTATGTGCTGGATGCTTCAGTGTCAAATTGACACACCTGGGTTGAAGGAGCCTCAACTGGGGAATTGCCTCTATTGAACTGGCCTGTGGCCATGTATATGGGGCATCTTCTTGATTGTTGACTGATGTGGACCATGCTCAAACTAGTCTGCCACTTGACAAGAAATCTAAGAGGAAACACATATCCTGCAGAGCCTCCCATCCAAAGCCCCGATCCCACCTTCTCATCTCCAGGACAGGTCAAAGGTGAGAAGGAGGCTATCACAGGTATCCATAAGCCAGTGTCCTTGTCCTATGTACCAAAGCCTTCCCTTGAGAGTCTGAGGGGTCAGAGTCCACAGGGACACTCTCACAGTCCAAAGTCTGCTTCCAGAATGCATGGAATGGGTGAAGTGCTCAGCAGATACCAGCCCTGTGTCCTGATGGGAACAGGCATCCTGCCCTACATACACATGGACGGGTCCCCAAACTGAGCTTCTGGGTAAGGCAAGACACCTTCAGATGTCTCCCTGCAGTCTAGGCAGGATCCCTCAAGAAATCACAATTCAGTTCCTTCCAAAGCCCTGAAAATTGCACTTTCTGATCTGCTTTGAGGCTGCCCTGGATCTGCAGACTCCTCTCAGGACCAAGAGGTTTGGACTACAAGAGTCATCCAAAATGAGCCTGAAATATCCCAGCCCATATTCCGAAATGCAACCAAGAGAGACCACAGAGCTGATCTCATCTGATTTCTGCCCAGCCCTGTATCAAGTCTGATCACCCATTGTCTAGCCATAATGCAGGCCAACCTCTCAGGATGGTATTTAGCAAATGCAACCAAGAGAGACCATAGAGCTGCTGATCTCCTCTGATTTCTGCCCAGCCCTGTATCAAGTCTGATCACCCATTGTCTAGCCATGATCCAGGCCAACCTCTCCGGATGGCATTTACCAGACTGTACAGTGATTGCTGGAGTTCCAGGTTCCTCTCCACATACTCCTGAGAAGCAAACACCTCTAAGAGTTCTGCCTTCCTGGAGAAACCTGAGGAACCAGGCTGCCAGGTTCTAGTGAGTGTTCTCCAGGAGGACCTTCAGGTTTCCTCTTCTTCAGAGGACAGTGACTGGGATTGAGACACCACATGAAGGCAGACACTCAGCCTCCAGGATCGGGAGACTTTCAGGAGACTGTTCGAAGTGACGAGCTGAAGACAGAGGGAGCTGGCTCCGCATCTTAACTAAGATCCTCCATCAGTTCCAGGAGCTTGTAGAGCTCTATTTCCACAATGTCGTGCACTTCCTCCCTGGCTCTTACAATCTTTCCACCCCCTCTTCAGAAGATGTCCCTGAGCCCTGAGAGGATGAAGTTTAATATAAGGTATCAGTTTGTCTAAGACCCATACAAACTGCAGCAGTGAAACCCCTGCAGAGAACTGGGGAAATGGACACTAGACCCCAGTCTTAGCTGAAGAAATATTGGCACTGATCACTCTTGGGTGAGAAAGACCTGATCTTCCTAAAGTGATGGACTCCGGACAGGCAGACGAGAATGCAGGAGATGCACTTGCCCTGAGGAACAGCTACGGACCCTAACTTGACACAATAGACCTTAACACAAACGAGAGAATGTATGAACTCAGTGGGGTGGGAGGCTATGGGAGGGTACCAGTGGGGAAGGAAATATAGAGATGACTAAGATTGATTGAGATGTTCTGTATGAAATACACAAAAATTCAATGAAAATTTTAAAAGAAAATTAAAGTAGCTCAAAAAAACTAAAAAAAACACCGTCATTGGTAATCACAGGAATGCTAATGCAGGGCAGTGATCTCAGTAGTTCTGGGGAAAGGACAGGAGGGTAAGGAGCACAAAGCCACCAATGGTCCAGACAAGATTCAAGTCAGACTAGGCTACAGGAGACCTTGTCTCAAAAACAGCAACAATCGGGATTAGCCACCTACGCTGGACTTAACATTTAATCCCATTATTCTGCATACACAGCCAGGAGGATTGACAAGAGCTTGCTAGCTGTCTAGACAACATACATGAATGTTCTAGAAGGGCCTCCCAGTTGTGGAGTCTTGGTTTCAATTCTCTACCCTTTCTGATGACTCCTTCCATCTTTTCCGTTTGGTAACTGACATCTCGGTGTGTGCTGAATTGATTCCCCGACCCACGAAACAGGCAACACAGCTCAAATCGGACAGGTCCTATTTTTCCCTCCAAATCAATGGACCAGATTCCTCGGGTGGCTGAAATTGCACGGTCTCCAGGATGGGGAACCTCAAGAGCCTCAAGAGCCGTCTAGGGTGGGGTGATGGGCGAACACACCTTTCTGTTTTTGAATATTTGAAGGCCATGTGGCCCAGGCCAGACCTTGGGTTTCTGTGTGGAGATGGAAGAGCACTCGAGGACACAGCTGTACTTTGTCCCGGGTGGGGAAAGTCCGGAAATAGGACGGGTCTGTGCTTGGTGTGTTTACTTGAAGCTGTTTTCCCACAAGCAATGCCCCAACTTCAGATCCCTAACTGGGGCAGACTTGACTTGATTCCTGGAAGGTGGGAGCAGTCTCAGCCCCACAGGTGCACAGGATAAACCACACCCACTTAGCCCTGGGCAATCAAGGACTTCCCAGCCATTGGCCCCTCCAGAGGCCCCTGAGTGGGCGTGGCTTCGGGCAGCAGCTATAAAGCCAGGAGCTTCCAGGTTCCCACGTTCTTCTTTGGAAGCTGCTTTCCCAAAGGCACAGCAACAGCATCCTTGGGCCCCTGGAGACTCCAACCGGGAAACTTGGAGGAAGCATCCTGGAGACATGGCAACTGAGGAGCTGCAGTCCGGAGGTGAGTCTCCTTCCAGTGCTTTTGGCAAACCCGGTACCCTCTCCACCCACTAGGCTAGGGCTCGCGCTGAAGCCCCTCGGCCTTCTTGTTCTCCTGCAGCTTCCTGGATCCCGACGTCGGAGACCTCCGCAGACCTGGGCCAGGATCCCACGCCTGTGGCAGCGGAGCTGACTCCCGGCGGCGGCGGCGGGAAACTCCGTCTTGGTTGGCAGAGACCTCATGGTGCGGGCGCTGGGCTGCAGAACGTGGGAAACAGCTGCTACGTGAACGCAGCGCTCCAGTGCCTGACATCTTCCCACCCAGGCGGGAGCTGTGATTTCTGAAGATTACCTGTGTAAACTACTGTGCCAAATGTCTTTAAATTATCGATTGTCATTATTAGTCACCTGTAAATACATCCTTTCAATTACTTTTAGAATTCATGTATATCTAATAATTAACAGTTTTTTTCAAATGTTCAGTTTTCAGCAATAAAACTCATTGTTGAAATTCTTTCCAGTTAACGGTTTTCATATGACTTGTGGTCTAATAAGAATCTACAAAGTAAGGCGGTGGCCAACCTAGTGGATCACCTATGGCATGTTGACACTACTCACTAGTCACTCAACAAGATGAACTTGTGAGCATCAGCAGACGAGGAGTCTCTGTTTGCCACACATCAGAAACACCTGGGGCACTTACCATACCCTATGGCCTAACTGACATGAAGAATCCCACGTTACACAGATCACACTCCATCAAACTCTGCATCTTCGTATTCAGAGATGACTCTGCCAGTGGTACCCCAAGGTAAGCCCCTACAGCTAATGGCTCTTTACCCATCTCTCATTCCACTTTGGTTGTTCCTTAATTAACAGCAGGAATATTGTAATTCTAGCCATCTTAAAGGCAAGGCTGAAGCATTTTTCTTAATACCAAGTGAGACTGGGCTATATATTGGATTTGAGGCTACTTTGAGCAACAGTGTGAGAAACACACATGAAACGTGTCAATAACAAATCTACATGTGCATAACATGTCCACTAAGTATATGTCACCTTATAAGGACCATCTTGTAGAGAGGAAATATTCTAATATCTGACTTCCCTCGGATGAGAAATAAAAATCATCCATTTGATCCCTTTACTGCAGTGTTCTTGTTTTTATTTTCTTCAGCTAGTTTGGTTGATCGTCCCTCCTGCATCCGTTGGCCTCCAAACTCCTTGTACCTTTCTACCCCTAGAATCTCCCTTTCCACTTTTTCTTTCACATGTCTTTATTACCCTCTCTGCACCCCTTCTGACAACAGTGGAGGCCACATGCCATCAGGACTTTTGCACAGGAACAGATATTCAAAGATCTCTTTTGTAAGTGCCAAAAGGATGATTCAAAATAATAAAGACCATGGCTACAAGAGGTAGACTGTGGGTGACAGAATTTCCATAGTGAAAAGGAAAGACAGGACATCAAACCCTAAGCAAAAATGGTTGAAATTACTTTCAATAAAAGTTCAATGAAGTTTAGCACAGGATACAACATTAAAATAAATTTCTATTTTGAGACCAGGACATCACATCAAACCTCACAGATTCTACACCTGCCTTTCAAGTCCTACCTGTTTATGCAAATGACCATGGCAGTGGACTGTCCATTCGCTTCTTAAGAGTCATGGGATGGAGTTGGTGAGCTCAGTCTACGTGCTCTCTCTCTGTCTGTCTTTGTCTCTATCATCTATCATCGATCTATCTATTATCTATCTACCATCTATCATCTCTTATCTATCTATCGTCTATCATCTATCATCGATCTATCTATCATCTATCTATATATAATCTATCATCTATCATCTATTTATCTATCTATCTATCAATCTATCATCATCATCTATCATCAGTCTATCTATATCTATCATCTATCAATCAATCAATCAATCAATCTATCTATCTATCTATCTATCTATCAATCTATCATCATCTATCATCAGTCTATCTATATCTATCATCTATCTATCTATCTATCTATCTATCTATCTATTTCTATCATCAGTCTATCTATATCTATCATCAATCAATCAATCTATCTATCTATCTATCTATCTATCTATCTATCTATCAGTCTATCCATCTATATCTATCATCTATCTATCATTTAGTTCCCTTCAGCCTTCACAGTGGCTGGGGCATGGTAGGCCAGTGTCCCAAGACCCAGACCATGTGGACAGCATTAGGATATTTACTTATTTTGATTTTCTAGAAACCTCTTCTGACTCCGAAGTCGTGCTTTCAGCACTTCATGCACATACTTCCGGTTCTAAAATGACTCTTTTGTGTATCTCCTATTAACACTTTGGAACCATAAGACAGACAACCACAGCTAAAACTGAACTTAATTTCTTAGAAAACTTGAAACTGGCTAGGTGTGGTGGTGCATACCTTTAATCCCAGCACTTGGGAGGCAGAGGCAGGCAGACCTCTGTGAGTTCAAGGCCAGCCTGGTCGACATAGTGAGTTCCAGACCAGCTGGGGCTACAGGGAGACCCTGTCTCAAAAGGACCAAAAAAGAAAAGAAAAAGGAAACAAACTTGAAGCTATAAAACTAGGCCAGCTGGGTAAACTCCAGGCTTGCCCAAGCAGTTTGTTGGAATCCAAGAAACAGAGGAAAATAATGAAAAATTTAAAATATCATGAACTATGAAGAGCGCTTAGGGCAGTGTGAGACTCCATGCTTGACATCTGTGAAGCCTCTGGTTGGCATTAATCCATGCATATAAATAAATTTACAGAAATATATGAACAAAATTTATACAATTATTTGTAAGTCATGCACACAATTTATAAGAGAGCTCTTGTACAAATACATGATTCCTCTCTCCCACGTACAGTCCTGGAGCTTTCGAAATGAAATGCAGAGAGCACAGGAGGTTTCCAGGACTTACAGAGAGGGAAGTATAGTGTTCATTTCCAAAAGGAGAGTTTCATTTAGCAAAAGTGGAAAATCCTGGCATACACAGATGATGCGTGTATGCCATCTAAGAAGTCTGAGAACTTAAATTATGGTTGAAAAGTTTGATTTGTTACAGAAATCTGACCAGAATTTAATAGGCTAACTCAAGGGCATAACAAACATGCACACATTTACTTTTTAAACAAATTGTATTTGCATTTTATGCAGATCTATGTAAATTTCAAAAAGGTTTGGAAATGGACCCACAGAGCAAGGTTTCTTGTGTCCTGAGATCATTAGATCCATCAGTTAGGATCAAGTTCAACGGACCCTGGGCACTCCTGGAATTCTCAACCCTCTGGAATGTGAGACTGGACTACACTGTGAGTTCCTGGGCACAGTGAGCTGAAGTCTGAGATATCATTCCTTCCTGCCACCCAGTCCACTCAAAATGAGTGTGGAAAGATTTGCCTACATTACCAGGTCAGACTGGACTACACTGTGAGATCCTGGCTACAATGAGTTGCAGTCTGAGACATTATTCCATCCTGCCCCCCAATTCACCCCAAAAGAGAGTGATTAATGCTATGTACCTCATAAAGATGAAAAATTTTCACATCTGACCTCCCCACAGAAAAAATAAAATTAATTTAAAATTTTAGTCCTGCACATTAGTTTTTTTCTTATCTGTGTGTTATGTTTCCTCATGGCATTTGCACACATATTTTATTTTGGCTGATCTCCTCTGCTCTTCCTCATTCCTGGCCCCTGAACCCATTATGCCCTCCACCCCCATGAATCCCTGTTCACTTTTGTATGATGTGTGTTTATTAACCTCTCCAGTCCTCTGAAAACAGAGGAGACCAAACTCCACCAGGATCGATCTACACAAACAAGTAAGTGGAGGCTCCGTTGCAAGTGCCTGGGACGATGACTTAAAATAATAAAGACAGAGCTGGGTGTGGTGGCACACGCCTTTAATCTCAGCACCCGGGAGGCAGAGGCAGGCGGATCTCTGGGAGTTCAAGGCCAGCCTGGTCTACATAGTGAGTTCCAGGACAGCTGGAGCTATAGGGAAACCCTGTCTCAAAAAGAACAACAACAACAACAACAACAACAACAATAATAATAGTAAAGACGGGGCTGGAGAGAGAGCTCAGCAGTTAAGAGCACACTGACTGCTCTTGCAGAGGACCCGGGTTTGATTCCCAGCACCCACATGGCAGCTATGGACCGTCCTTAACTCCAGTTCCAGGGGAATCCGAAGCCCTCTTCTGACCTCCATGGCACTGCATGACAAGGGTGCGCTCACATA